CCTCTGGGTTTTTTCATTTTGTTTCTAGTTTTTGTTTTTTGTTTTTTTCTTCTTATTCCCCTGGGGGAAATGGAAAAGAATTCTTCCTCCTTTAAACCATGCGTGTTGTAAGAGGCGACTAAAAAGCCCGGGGGCAAGGGGCTAGTAACCCTTTGCTGTAATTTTTTACTAAAAGTAAAAGGAAAACTTTTTTTTTCCTTTGGGGGCCCCCCCACCTCGGGGGTCGGCCCGGGGTGTTGAAAGAAAGAAGATATTAATATATATATATCTTTTTTCTTTCAACACCCGCCGCACCCCACCGAGGGGGGGTGGCCCAAAAAGGAAAAAAAAAAGTTTCTCCTTTCATTTTAGTAAATATAAGGAGAGGGGTTATTTCCCCCTTGCTCGGGCTTTTTAGTCGCCTTTTTCAACAGCATAGCTTCGGGGGAAAGAATTTTTCCCATTTCCCCCAGGGAGATAAGAGGAAATAAACAAAAACAAGAGCTAGTAAGAAAAAAGAAGAAAAACCCGAGGGGTGGTATCTAGCTTGTACATGTATGTGTAGTGTGACCTAAGGAAGTAGAAGTGCAAGACGACCTGGAAAATTTTCATGTTTATGAGCAGAAAAAAAAGGACACCCGCAATCCTACCTTAGTAAAACAATTACAGCTTTCGTTTTACACCACTGGCAGGACGGGAGTACCTCCCGGGGGGGTTGCTGTCTACCAACCTACTACCTAGGTATATATATAATTATATATATATATATATATATATATATATATAAAATTTAAAAATTTTAAAATTTTTTATATAAAATTTTTATATAAAATATATAAAAAGGTTGGAGACAGCAACCCCCCAGGGGGGTATACTGTCATGCCCAAAGGGGGTAAAACGAAAACTGGATTGTTTTCAGAGGAAAGGATTGTGATGTTTTTGTTCTGTTCATAATATGCAAATTTCAGGTATTCTTTTATTTTACTTACATTAGGTCAACACACATACATTCACATTTTTTATACACACTATCGGTTTTCTTTGATTTTTCTTAATAGTTCTTGGTTTTATTTTCTTTTTTCCTTTTTATCCTGGGGGAAATGGAATAAATCTTTTCCTTAAGCCATGCATTTGTAAAAAATCAAAATAAAATGCCGGGAAAAATGGGCAATAAAACCCCTTTCTGTAAAAATTACTAAAAAAGAATAAGAAAAAGAAAATTTCAAAGTAGGAAATTGAATGTGCGTGGTGTTGTGCAGATGAAGAAAGAGATGATTGTGGATGTTTAAAATGAGAAGAAGCTGATGTCCGGGTTTTTTAAGTGAAACAAAGCAAAAGGGGGGGGAGAGTTTAGGGAAGGGTAAAGGGTTTAGGCGGGGTTTTTAAAATGGGAGACTAAAGAAGGAGTAGAAATAATGTTGAAGGATAATTTGGGCAGGAAAAGGGGGACTATAAATGTTTAATTAAAGGGATTTGTGGAGTAAAAAAAGATTGGGTAAAAAGGGGTTATAATAAGCGTGAGCCCCTGGAAAGAGAGAGTGTAGGGGGGAGGAGGATTTTGGGAAATGTTGAGTGAATCATGGGGATTTTGAAATCAAGTGTGAGAGTAATGGGTGGTTTGGGGATTTCAATGCAAAAGGGGGTAAAAATGTTATGGGGGGGAGAGTAGGTAAATTTGGGGGGCCCGGGGGTAAATTAAATGGGAGCCTTTAATGAGCTTGTGTAAAAAGGATTTGGTAATAAGTAATAATTTTTTGAAAAAGAGGAAAATAAATTACAAGGTAGATGTAGACGTAATGAAAGAAATTTTATTAGATTATGTTTTGGTGGATAAAAGGTTGTGGGTAGGCCCCGGGAAAGTACTGTTTATAGAGGGGCACTGATATATCGGACTTTATTAGTTGTAGATCATTTAGATAAGAGGTAGGGGGGAAAAGAGGAAGGTGGCAAAAAACAAGTAAGAGGGAGGTGAAGTTATAAAAAGGGGGGAAAGGAAGTTCGGGCAGATTAAGCGATATTGGGCAAAAAGGGGGGCTTTTGCAAAGATGAGTAGTGGGGGGGGGGGTTAAAGAGGGTGGAATAGTTTTAAAAATGCAGTATAGAATGTGGGGCAGAATTTTGTGATTATAGGAGGGGGGGGGGCGGGAGGAAAGAGGAGTGTTGGGGAATGATGAATAAGGGTGTGATAAAGAGAAAAAGGTATTTTTGAGAGGTTTTTACAAAGCAAAAAGGTATAAGAAGAGCAGAGTATTGGAGAGTAAAAGAAAGGTAAAGAGAGTGGTGAGAGAGTGAAAAAGGAAGCAGATGATAGAGTGGGAGAGGCACTGTCAAGAAATTTTAATGAAAATAAGAAAAAATTTTTGGGGGTGAGTTAAACATTAAGAAAACCTGGGGAAAAATATGGAAATTTTTCAATTAAAAACAGGTGGGGAGTTAGTAGATGGGGAGATGGGGTTTAGATAGATGGCGAGAAAACTTTGAGGAAATTGAAATGTTGAGGGAAAAAAGGGAGGTGGAATTTCATGCACTGGCCTGGGGGGGTTTCCATCTTTTAGGAGTGAAGAAGAGCAGAATGTAAGGTGGGGGGGGTACGTGAGGCATTAGAGAATGAAAGGGGGTAAAGCATGGAATGAGGGATAGACAGAAATTTAAAAACAGGGGGGGGAAAAGTGTTGGGTGGTTGGTATTTTTTTTAATAAAGTATAAAGAGGGGAAAGGGACCTAGGATTGGCAGAGGGGCATGTATAGCCCCTTTATAAAAAGGGGAAAAGGGGACAAAAGAGATTGTAAAAAATTTAGAGGAAAAAATTTAAAACTGAGTAAACCAGGAAAAGTATACGGTAGGGGGGAAAATTGAAAAATTAGAGGAAAACAGAATGTAATTCCCGGTTTAGCGGGGGGGCTTAGAGTGGGTGGGGAAAGTGTAGTTTCAAGTTTTTTTACATTGAAGCATATATGTGAACAGTATTTAGATAAAGGTAGGGAATTTTTTTTTGTTTTTAATGGATTTAAAAAAAGGCATATAAATAGAGTGGATAGAGGACCTTGGGGCGATGTTGCAAGAAAAAGGGAAAAGGTGGAAATTTTAAACGAAATGTGTAAAAAATTTTTTAAAGAGGAAAGTGAGGCTCGGGTTGGGTTTTTGTGGGAAGGGGCAAGAATCCCCCCCCTGGAAAAAATTAGGTCTTAACGGGGAGGGTGTAATGCACTAGGGTTTGGGTTTAAAATAATTTTTGGGTTTGGGGTTGTAAAAAAGTAAAGCTGGGGTGTTGGGGGAGAGGGGTGGGTTTAAAAATTGGGGAATCAAATTAAAAAAGGGGAATTAAACCCGTTTACTTTTTGCTGATGATACTGTGCTTAGGGGAGATTCTAAAAAAAAATTGAAAAGGGTGTTAGTGGAGATTTTTGGGGAAGGGTGTGAAAAGGGTTTAGAAAGTTGAAAGTGAAATAAAAAAGAGAAAAGGGGGGATGAGGGTTCAAAGATTTTAGATAAAGAAAAAATTGGATACAAATTGGGGAGGGGGGATTTGGGAAAAGGAAAGTTAATTTTTTCGATAATTGGGGGTTACTTGTGGGCAGAGGGATTTATGAAGGTGGGGTTTTAATAATAGAATTTGAGGAAAAAAAGGGGGATTGGTGGGGTTGAGGAAAATTGGGAGTCAAAAAACGTTTATCTTTTGGAGGCAAAGAAGGGAATGTTTTGGAAAGTATGTAGTACCAACACATTTAATAGGGGATGGGGGAAAAAAGCGGGGGGGTAGTAAATGCAGCAGCGGGGAAAAGGTTTTGGGGCAGTGGAGATGTCCGTCAAAGGGGAAATTGTGTGGTGAAAAATATTATGCAGAAAATTCGGAATGTGGAAATTAGGAAAAGGTGTGGAGTTAAAAAAAGTTTTTAGCCCAGAGGGCAGAAGGGGGGGGTTTGTTGAGGTGGTTTGGTCATTTAGAGAAAAATGGATCAAAATAGAATTCATTAAAGCATATAAATCTATAGGGGGAAAGGGAAAGGGGGGGAGGGGTCCCTCCTCGAAAGGGTTTTAAAGAGGGGGGTAAAGGAGGTTTGGTGGGCGAGGGTCATGGACATCCACAAGCGTGCATGAGCTTGTTAGATAGAGTTAATGAGAACGAAAAAAAATGATACTTGGACCTGACAACTGTATGGAGTGTGATCAGGGTAATTTTTAAGTGAATGGGATTCAGGAAACCGGTTTATTTTCATATAGTTTGGACTTGAGTCCGGAAATGGGAGATACAATGCCTGCACTTTAAAGTAGGGGTTTGGGATATTTGGCAGTTTGGAGTGGATATGTTTGTGTATCTTAAACGTAATATCTTCTAACTTTGAATTCTGAGCACCTTCTGCAAAGCAGATGATAATGTGTGAGTGTGGTGAAAGTGAGTTTATGATGATAAAGTATTTTCTTTTGGGGATTTTTCTTTCTTTTCATGGGTCACCCTGCCTCGGAGTGGAGATGCCGACTTGGTTGTGAAATAAATATTATACTATATATATATATATATATATATATATATAAATATATATATATATATATAGAAAATCTATATAAATAAAAAAATATACACACCGATGACTCAGACTTTGCAATGGGCTCTCTACCAGTATGCATAACCTAAATAATGTATATTAGAGCTTATTCCTCTAATTTGTTTATTACAATATACATGTATAGTAAACTACTGTACAAACATTTTAAAATATCCAGAAATGTTTATAAATGTGTGCAAAGGTGACATTACAACAATATCAAAGAAGTATTGTACACAACTCTAAAATTGTAGTATGCTCCTCACTTTGCAACGAATTTGTTATAAAACAGGGACTTAGGAACGGAAAACACCAACGTTTACGTGAGGAGAGGCTTAATAAGTATTCCCGTATAGTTAATCAACTTCAAATAATTGTAAAATCTTTATTTCTACAAGTTACATGTTACAAAGTATACAGACCAAATATGACATCAGTGAACTCCCCTTTATTCATGCCAATGCATTTTCTCACAAATTAGTCAGTTTTATCCCCAGAATGCAACCCACCAGTCGACTAACACCCAGGTACCTATTTTACTTATAAACATGTAAACAGTTCATTACCACTGTAATTTGATTAGCTATTAAAACTTTACTGCTCAATCCCTGGACCAACATTATATACCTCTAATGTGTTTGTGTGGTTAATTTTGGGAGATGAGCTGATTTCCAAGCCATCTCTCAGCCATCCACTCGTCCAACTCAGACCAGTAGAGGGCCACACCATCCCTCTGTACCCCTTTTAAAATCATTAACATACACCAGCAACCAGAATTTAAGGTAAGAAATATCAGTATTTTTGTAGCAATAAGTATTATATAAATAATACCCACTGCATCCACCTATAATTACATTTTTTTTTTTTTTTTACAATTTCAATATCTAAAAACAAAACTGTTTGGCTTCTTTAGGAGGTCTAAGAAAAGTAACCCTATTTTTTCCCATATGATTCTTTATTTGCATGCCATTTTTAAGAATGTAAATACAATGTTAATTAACAGTCAGTTGTACTTATAATTATTCTAATAGCATCCCATAATCTAACGCTTCCACTATTTTCTGAGAAGGAATTTCAATGTGTTTGAATAAAAAGTTGAAGTTCAGTCCGATTATTCAGAAATGAAAAAAATGGTTCACAAGAAATTTCAGAATTATCTGCTATTAAAAGGTAGTCTCAGACTTGATACAGAAAATGTTTTTTCATTCTAATAGGTATTAAATGTGTGCCTAAAAACACTGAAGCCAAGTATGCCTGCTTCCTCCTCACCTCACACCCCAAAACATTAGTTATACAAAAATTTTGTGTACAAAAGTTAAATCCTTGGCAAAGTTTTTGACAAAGAAGTTTTGAGTAGTTTTTCTTTATAAAATTGCCATAGTGTACTTGGCTATTGATTTATCACTTACAAACTGGTTTAATGCTGCTCAAGCACAATAAAAAATATAAGCCTTTGTACTTTCATATTATGGTATGTTCAAACTCGGAGGAAAATAGTGCATTTCATAATGCAGTACTGTAATTAAAACTTTTGTATATTCTACATAAGTCAGTATTAAAAATATAAAAAAAAAAAAATGGAAAAAGTAGTCTTCAAGAAAAAATTAATAAATACATAAGTATTAATATGCTTCAACTTTAGATTATCCAAATTTCTAATTACAGTGAAAATGTATATCTCCCATAATCTTTTAAATTTGTATAGTAACTTAAACTAATTCTTTTTCATCTTCTTTACTTTCTGTTCCCTTTTTTCATCTTCTTGTTCAAGTGGAGGAACAGAAAATCCTGGGATGACAGGAGTAATAAGTTTGCAGACAACACGCTGATGCTGAACATCTGAAGCATCTACGGTCACTTGTATGCGAAGATGATCAAAGGGACGAATTATTACGTCCCCACATTTCACATACAGTTCCTGCAGTGTTGAAATATATTTAAATATAATTACACTAATTTATCTAGTTACCAATATCATAGAATCAGAGACAAAGGCAAACACAAGAAGGAGTAAAAAAAAAAAAAAAAAAAAAAGTATGGAAAAATCTGTACTGTATATTCTTCATGGAGGATGCCTTGATGTAGGTGAGAGGGCACTTGATAAAAAAAAAATGGATCAACCCTTCCTTCCAGGGATCAAGCCTGATTATTTCATATTCTCTAAGAAGTGCTGTATGACCCCCTACAGGCTTACTGCTTCACGTAAATATGCAAAAATATAGACATTAGCTACCTATATAGCTTTGGTTCACTTGCAAGTTACACATAAGGCCTATGGTATTCAACATAACTTATGTTTGGGATGCCATTACAATATTTTTTAATCTAGTATAGCATGAATTGTTGAAACCTCTATACTACAAGGTTTTTATGCTATATGAAGTAGCTCGTAGGTGGTCTACTATATGCTGGCGGCCTTGGATAAATATTCTAAAATTTCATGCTGGGAACTTACTAAACAGCATACCGTTAAATTATATATTACACATAAATTGCAAAAAAAAAGGAATACAGTAAACAGTGCCCTCATAGAATACTCATGAACCTTGGTTGCCTGATCTTAATTCTTTCCAAATGCCAGTTCGACAACCAAAATGGTCGACAACCAAACCAATTTTTTCCATAAAGAATAATGTAAATAGACTTAATCAGTTCCAGAAAAATGACAATATAATAATTTATAAATAATAATGTACTAACTACTACATAATGTATAAAGTTATACAGCATTTTTTTTTTTATCACACTGGCTGATTCCCACCAAGGCAGGGTGGCCCGAAAAAGAAAAACTTTCACCATCATTCACTCCATCACTGTCTTGCCAGAAGGGTGCTTTACACTACAGTTTTTAAACTGCAACATTAACACCCCTCCTTCAGAGTGCAGGCACTGTACTTCCCATCTCCAGGACTCGAAGTCCAGCCTGCCAGAACCCCTTCATAAATGTTACTTTGCTCACACTCCAACAGCACATCAAGTATTAAAAACCATTTGTCTCCATTCACTCCTATCAAACACGCTCACGCATGCCTGCTGGAAGTCCAAGCCCCTAGCACACAAAACCTCCTTTATCCCCTCTCTCCAACCTTTCCTAGGCCGACCCCTACCCCGCCTTCCACTACAGACTGATACACTCTTGAAGTCACTCTGTTTCGCTCCATTCTCTCTACATGTCCGAACCACCTCAACAACCCTTCCTCAGCCCTCTGGACAACAGTTTTGGTAATCCCGCACCTCCTCCTCCTTCCATACAGCATATGGAAACTAAAAATGAATAGTAAATGAAGACTTAACTGATATACTGCACAGTAAATGAAAATTTAACTGCCTCTTACCTGTCTGAGGAGAGTTAATGGCAAAATTTTAGCAGCTTCAAATCTTGCAGGAGAAAGTGGGTAGGCCTACATGTGAGAGAATGAGTCTGCATGGTCAGTGTGTGCAGTATATCAGGGCTCAAAGTGGGCGAAATCTCTGATGCACAAATATCGCTGAGACCGCTAACTTCGTGATGGCGTAATTCCGTAAGTTTTCCATCGAATTTCATACTTTTGGTTTCATTACCTTTACAAGATGGAAACATAAACACATATGCAGTTTAATGTGATCCTTTATTGACAACGTTTCGCCCACACAGTGGGCTTTTTCAAGTCACACACAGATCTACTTGGGGTGGAAGGTACGGGAGTATTTATAGTCAGGTTCAGAATGTTGAGGTCAGGTGGAGAATGCTGCATCTGATGATCTACCGGGTGGGGTTATAGAGTCTTGGGTAGCTTGGCAGGGGTATTGGACAAGTTGTGAGTAGACCTTCTGCAGTGTTCTATGTTCTTATGTGGGATAGCAATGAAGAAGTTTCTTGGCAAGTGGTTCAGCTATGTTATAGAAGCCGTTGTTCTGGTTGAAATTGTTGGTTATAGAGATAAGCGATGATTCCAGGATTCTTTGGTATTGAGTGTTGTCTTCTGTGGCGATAAGTCTTGAGTTTCTGTAGTTAATTAAATATTGTGTGAATTGCGATGTTGTACACAGGCATTCCTTGTATCGTCAGTCCTGCTTGCGTATTGGTGTTCTGAAATACGTGTTTGGAGGTCTCTTGATGTTTCGCCCACATATGATTTGTTGCAGTCATTACAAGGGATTATGTATACCCCTGCAGAGGATGGAAGCTTGTCCTGTCTACTACTGGTGATGTCCTTGATGGTTGTGGTTGTAGAGGTAGATACTTGGAATGATGTATTGGAAAAGATGTTGGAAACATGTTTGGCAATGGAGTTGGTGGGGAGGACTATGTATCTCTTCTCGGCAGTGTCTTCTCTGGGTGTGTTGAAGATGTTTAATGCCCACCGTCTGCAGTCTCTGATGAAGTGACGAGGATAGTGGAGTTTAGAAAATACTTGTTCAATTACAGTGGACCCCCGCATACCGTTGGCCTTACATAACGTTAAATCCGCATACCGCTACATTTTATCGCCAAGATTTTGCCTCGCATACCGCTAAAAAACCCGCTCAATGCTGTTCGTCTGAGACGCGTCTATGTGCGGCCTGAGCCACACTCACATGTTCCGCCGGTGGCATTGTTTACCAGCCAGCCTCCGCGGTAACATCCAAGCATACAATCGGAACATTTCGTATTATTACAGTGTTTTTGGTGATTTTATCTGCAAAATAAGTGACCATGGGCCCCAAGAAAGCTTCTAGTGCCAACCCTACAGCAATAAGGGTGAGAATTACTATAGAGATGAAGAAAAAGATCATTGATAAGTATGAAAGTGGAGTGCGTGTCTCCGAGCTGGCCAGGTTCTATAATAAACCCCAATCAACCATCGCTACTATTGGTGGTACAGCTGCTGCTGCTGCACTGTCAGCTGCTGCTGCTGCTGCTGTACCACCGTCAGCTGCTGCTGTAGTACCGTCTGCTGCTGTTGTAGCATCGTCTGCTGCTGCTGTAGCATCGTCTGCTGCTACTGTAGCATCGTCTGCTGCTGCTGTAGCATCGTCTGCTGCTGCTGTAGCACTGTCAGCTGCTGCTGCTGTTGTACCAGCCTGCGTCGTAACCGTCTGCTGCTGCTGCTGCTGTAGTACCGTCTGCTGCTGCTGTAGCATCGTCTGCTGCTGCTGTAGCACTGTCAGCTGCTGCTGCTGTTGTACCACCGCTGCTGCTGCTGCTGCTGTAGTACCGTCTGCTGCTGCTGCTGTAGTACAGTCTGCTGCTGCTGTAGCACCGTTGTTGGTGTGGCTTATTGAGAATACCAAGAAACAATTAACCCCAGAGGATTTGCCACCCAGGATAACCCCAAAAAGTCAGTGTCATCGAAGACTGTCTAACTTATTTCCATTGGGGTCCTTAATCTTGTCTCCCAGGATGCAACCCACACCAGTCGACTAACACCCAGGTGAACAGGGAAAAATGCCTGGAACTAGTGCTCATATTGGTGAATTGAAAGCCAGCAAAGGTTGGTTTGAGAGATTTAAGAATCGTAGTGGCATACACAGTGTGATAAGGCCTGTTCTGGAAGAAAATGCCAAACAGGACCTACAGTTCTCAGGAGGAAAAGGCACTCCCAGGACACAGTGTCTCATCAGTCATTGCTGCATCTTCAATAAAGGTTCATTTATTCTTCATTTAGTAGAGTAGTACATGCACAATATATATTGTGCATGTACTACTCTACTATTGTGCATGTATCCTTCTCTTTGTGTGTAGGAAAATGTATATTTCATGTGGTAAAATTTTTTTTTCATACTTTTGGGTGTCTTGCACGGATTAATTTGATTTCCATTATTTCTTATGGGGAAAATTCATTCGCATAACGATAATTTCGCATAACGATAATTTCGCATAACAATGAGCTCTCTTGCACTGGATTAATATCGCTATGCGGGGATCCACTGTATAGTGCATTCTTCCTCAAGGAACTCATTGCTGCAGATTCTGAGTGCGCGCAGGAAGAAGCCTATAATTACACCACGTTTAGTTTTGGTGTCGTGGTGAGAGTAGAAGTGAAGATCGTTTTGGTTGGTTGGTTTTCGATAGACTTTAAAACGAAGTTCATGGTCAGTTTTGCAGAGAAGAACATCAAGGAAAGGAAGAGTGTTGTCGACTTCTTCAAGTGTGAACTGGATTGAGGGCTTGACCTGGTTGAGCTTGTCTTGGAGAGCTTGAACGTTGAAGCGCCTGGGAGTTATGAGGCGAATGTCGTCAACATAACGGAGCCAGGTGACAGTCGAAGGAATAATGGTGGAGAAACGCTTGGCTTCCAGATGTTTCATGTATAAGTTCGCCAGGACGGCACTGAGTGGCGAGCCCATGGGTAGACCAAAAGTCTGTTGAAAGAGGTGATTTTAGAAAGAGAAACACGTAAAGCCGACACATAGTTCAACGAGGTCGATGAAATCGCTGGCTGGAATAGGAAGATAAAGTGAATCGTCAATTTTTCTGCGCAGATCGATGCTTGTGTAGTAGGTACTTTGGTGAATAGTGAAGTTACGTCAAGGCTGGAAAATTTCTTGTTCCTGATGTTGATGTTGTGAATGCGACTGAGAAGATCACCCGAGTGTTGGAGATGTGCTGGACTGATAGTGCCCAAGAGTTTGGAGAGGTGTTTAGCGAGAATTCCTTGATGTTCTTCTCTGCAAAACTGACCATGAACTTCGTTTTAAAGTCTGTCGAAAACCAACCAACCAAAACGATCTTCTCCACTTCTACTCTCACCACGACACTAAAACTAAACGTGGTGTAATTATAGGCTTCTTCCTGCGCGCACTCAGAATCTGCAGCAATGAGTTCCTTGAGGAAGAATGCACTATAATTGAACAAGTATTTTCTAAACTCCACTATCCTCGTCACTTCTTCAGAGACTGCAGACGGCGGACATTAAACATCTTCAACACACCCAGAGAAGACACTGCCGAGAAGAGATACATAGTCCTCCCCACCAACTCCATTGCCAAACATGTTTCCAACATCTTTTCCAATACATCATTCCAAGTATCTACCTCCACAACCACAACCATCAAGGACATCACCAGTAGTAGACAAGACAAGCTTCCATCCTCTGCAGGGGTATACATAATCCCTTGTAATGACTGCAACAAATTATATGTGGGCGAAACATCAAGAGACCTCCAAACACGTATTTCAGAACACCAATACGCAAGCAGGACTGACGATACAAGGAATGCCTGTGTACAACATCGCAATTCACACAACCATTTAATTAACTACAGAAACTCAAGACTTATCACCACAGAAGACAACACTCAATACCGAAGAATCCTGGAATCATCGCTTATCTCTATAACCAACAATTTCAACCAGAACAACGGCTTCTATAACATAGCTGAACCACTCGCCAAGAAACTTCTTCATCGCTATCCCACATAAGAACATAGAACACTGCAGAAGGTCTACTCACAACTTGTCCAATACCCCTGCCAAGCTACCCAAGACTCTATAACCCCACCTGGTAGATCATCAGATGCAGCATTCTCCACCTGACCTCAACATTCTGAACCTGACTATAAATACTCCCTTACCTTCCACCCCAGGTAGATCTGTGTGTGACTTGAAAAAGCCCACTGTGTGGGCGAAACGTTGTCAATAAAGGATCACATTAAACTACATATGTGTTTATGTTTCCATTGTGTCGGTATTTTATACCATTTATTTTCACCTTTACAAGATGCACAGCAAGAGCTCAAGAGATGTTTACACCATGTGCATTAGTCACTATACTGACTGAGGCCCATACTGTGGACTGTCTGGTGATCACGTGATCCGAGCATTGTCGGTCGACAACCAAGACGACATGTGAAAACTAAATCTAACAAATCGGTTCGAAAACCGATTTGTTCGACAATAGTCCATTCGACAACTGAGGTTCTACCGACTTGTTGAAAAAAAAAAAAATATACATAACACATTACACAGTAGTTTATTGTAATACAGACAGAAGAAATGTTAGTATCTCTAATGGAGAAAGTTTCGTTGGAAGTCACTTTCGGATATACAGCGTGCTGAATGACCAATACAGATTCATTGTTTTTCGTAACACTGTATTATATGATTAGTATGCTGTATAATGATTATAATATCTATATTTTCTGCAAAATAATAAACAATAATACTATGGTTATTCTAAAAGAAAAATCATGATAAAACACTTTCAACATCACTAAGCATTTAAATGCTCAGACACATTACAGTAATCCACTCTTAATAAAGATGATCTGTATTTTTATTACCAAAAATAATCAAATTTACCAACCTGTTCATTAAATTCAAATTCAGGTGCTGGTTTCTCCTCGTCCACTTCCATTGTTTGTAATGATTTCTGAGCCTGAGACTTTGTGTCTTTATCCTTATTGCTTCTGCTATCCAAGTATAAAGTCAGCTGCTGACCAATTGTTGGCACCAACACTTGGATGGCATTTTTGTGCAGGAACAACACATAAGAATCAAATTCTGACACCTTTCCTCTCAGAGAAGCCTGAAAAGTTGAAATATAGTAAAAACTACTGTCTCTTATAAAATTACAGTAAACACTAGTTTTAAGTATCAATAAATAATTGATAAACAGCTGCATTTATTCATTATTAGGGCAATGTGCTGTGTGAATATAATGCAGAAAATCCATAGCTTGAAGATTAGAAGGAGGTGTGGGGTTTCTAATAGTATTATCCAGAAGGCAGAGGAAGGGTTGTTGAGGCAGTTTGGGTATTCAGAGAGGATGGAACAAAATAGAATGACTGGGAGGGCATACAAATATGCAGTGGATGGAAGGCAGAGTAGGGGTTGTTCTAGGAAAGGTTGGAGGGGGTAAAGGAGGTTTTGTGTGCTAGGGGCTTGGACTTCCAGGAAGCGTGTGTGAGCATGTTTGACAGGAGCAAGTGAAAACGTATGACTTTTATGACTGACATGCTGTTGGAGTGTGAACAAAGGAATATTTATGGTTTCAGGGAAACCAGTAAGCTGGACTTGAGAAGTACAATGCCTACACTCTGAAGGACGGGTGTTGATATGTTACAGTTTTTTAACTATAATATAGGCATGCCTCTGGCAACACAGTGATGGAGTGAATGATGATGAAAGTGTTTCTTCTTTTTCAGGTCACTCTGCCTTGCTGGGAAATGCCGATGTGTTAATATAATAATAAAAAAAAAAAATACGTGAGTATAAAACTTCCCTAACTCAATGTACTAAAAACATGAATTACCCAACAAATACATCAAATGAATAAAATATAAATAACTTGCTGTTCTTCTCTTATGTGAGTTCAGCCAACTCGACTTATATTTTTAACACAATTACTGCATCAAAAATAATAAAACTTACAATACCAGAGGTGCATTAATTCACAACTAATGCATGAACCATAAATTACAACTGTACAATGTTTTGATCTATCCTGGACCATTAACAAATAGCAAGTGATCAAAAAAAAAAAAAAATAATATCACGTTAGGTTATAGGGAGGTGAGGAGACAGCCAAAGTTAAGTCAAGTCATGTGTGTTCTGAAGATTAGACCATCTGCCAATATACTAGGAAAAGCAAGAATCATGAGAAACAGCTAGGGTGAAAACTCAGATTAGGGATTTGGTGTAAAACGGTCACTTCAATAAGGTAGCTAAAGTGAAGAGTACAAAAGGAAGAGATAATTTTGGTAGAGAAACCCTTTATGGCATGGCTTGGTTCCTATCAAGATGGAAAAGTTTTGTTAGCATTAGTATGGCAAACATTTTTAGCATTCTTGCCCTCTCCAATGCTTTGATGAAATTGGCTTCCTTTCAGCAAGACTTAAAGAGCAAAAAAAAAAAGTTCTGTTTGCTGTCACTAACAACATTCTTTTTTTCTGTCATGTTAAAGATCAGTACTATGTCATACGCTAGTTTCTTTGCAGGTTACCTATCACTAAGTTTTTGATATGCTGCCTAGTTGGGCTGAATACTATACACACGTATATCGTGATTATTATTATTATAATCAAAAAGAAGCGCTAAGCCACAAGGGTTATACAGCACTGCCGTATATCGTGAATATCAGCCCAGTTTTGTTTCTGCAGATGCTTGCCTCTCCCAGTACAGGCAGGCCCTGTTTTACACTGTTTCACTTTAGGGCATTTCACTAATGCAGCAGTTTTCAATTATACCCATTCTTCATTTATTAAGACTTCCTACAATAAGTATATTCACCGCTCACTGTAAGCTTAAGATGAAAATATTTTAAGGTAAGTAATGTGTTTTCTTCTTTTTCTTTTTAGTAGGCTATACAGGAAAAGGGGTTACTAGCCCATTGTTCCAAGGCATTTTAGTTGACTTTTACAACATGCATGGCTTATGGAGGAAAGATTCTTATTCCACTTCCCCACAGATATAAAAGGAAAAGCAATAAGAATAAGAACTATTAAGATAAAATCAAAGAAAACTCAGATGAGCGTGTATATATAAACGTGTACATGTATGTGCAGTGTGACCTAAGTGTAAGTAGAAGTAACAAGATGTATCTGAAATCTTGCATGATTATGAAACAGAAAAAAGACAGCAGCAATCCTACCATCATGTAAAACAATTACAGGCTTTTGGTTTACACTTGGCAGGACAGTAGTGCTTCCCTGGGTGGTTGCTGCCTACCGTCCTACTACAGTGGGAGTTGGCACAGTTACTTTTTGCTGATGATACTGTGCTTATGGGTGATTCTAAAGAAAAGTTGCAAAGGTTAGTGGACGAGTTTGGGAGGGTGTGTAAAGGTAGAAAGTTAACAGTGAACATAGATAAGAGTAAGCTGATGAGGGTATCAAATGATTTAGATAAAGAAAAATTGGATATTACATTGGAGAGAGGAAGTATGGAAGAAGTGAATGTTTTCAGATATTTGGGAGTTGACGTGTCAGCGGATGGGTTTATGAAGGATGAGGATAATCATAGAACTGATGAAGGAAAAAAGGTGAGTGGTACATTGAGGTATTTGTGGAGACAAAAAATTTTATCTATGGAGGCAAAGAAGGGAATGTATGAAAATATAGTGGTACCAACACTCTCATATGGGTGTGAAGCTTGGGTTGTAAATGCTGCAGAGAGGAGTCAACTGGAGGCATTGGAGATGTCCTGTCTAAGGGCAGTGTGTGGTGTAAATATTATGCAGAGAATTCAGAGTGTGGAAATTAGAAGGTGTGGAGTTAATAAAAGTATTAGTCAGAGGGCTGAAGAGGAGTTGTTGAGGTGGTTTGGTCACTTAGAGAGAATGGCTCAAAGTAGAACGACATGGAGAGCATATAAATCTGTAGGGGAAGGAAGGCGGGGTAGGGGTCATCCTCGAAAAGGTTGGAGGGAGGGGCTTGGACTTCCAGCAAGCATGCATGAGCGTGTTAGATAGGAATGAATGGAGACGAATGGTTTTTGGGACCTGATGAGCTGTTGAATGTGAGCAGGGTAATATTCAGTGAAGGGATTCAGGAAAACCTGTAACGGCTTGATAAAGCTCCTGGAAAGCGAAACGTTTCCACAATAAAAATTGTCACATTAGTTGCACTTGTGTCTTTTTACTTTACATTTTTATATAGCCGGACTTGAATTCTGGAAGTGGGAAGTACAATGCCTGCACTTTATAGGAGGAATTTGGGATATTGGCAGTTTGGATTGATGTGTAATAGGACGGTATATAATTGGGGCCCTGATATTATATTCTATAGGGTGTTTATTATATTATTTCAGGTCACTTTTTGTGATTATGTACAAGTGTGGTGAAAGTGTCGAATGATGATGAAAGTATTTTCGATTTTGGGGATTTTTTTTCTTTTTGGGTCACCCTGCCTAGGTGGGAGACGGCTGACTGGTTGAAAAAAAAAAAAAAAGTAATGTGTGTACTGTATATGCATTTTTTATGCCTAACTCTATTGCTCACTTAATATATGATAGTGTGAACATGTTATCAGGCTTTTATAGATATTTTTAAGTGAAAAAAGGCTGTTTCACTCCACAGCAATTTTGGCTTTACAGCAGTAGCCCAGAACTGAACCTGCTGTATAATAGAACATGTATGAACTGTGACTACTTTTGAGTTTTTATACCCTTACAGCTTGGCCTGGGTCAAGGCTTTTCTGTTGATTGCCTGTTCAACCAGGCTATTGTTGTTAGAGACCCACATACCCACAACCTGACTTCTGGCTACCTTTTCCTTTTCTTTCTTGATCAAAACATCATCCATTTTCATTTTCAATTTGTGGGTTAGCTGTTTACAAAATGCTACACACTTTATTTATAAAACCTAACAGCTTTTAAATTTACGGTGTCCCTAACAAGAAATCAGACCAAACAAAATCATTATAATTAATTTTTGACATTAACCATGTGCTACAACAAATTAACGACAGTGTAATACATTAAAATGGTCAAGGTGGGGGTCTAAATCTGGCACAATATATCTCACTTTCCACAAAGTTCAATTAAATCATCTTACAGAATGCCTCTCAATAAAAAGCCACCGACAAAGCTTTTTAAAAAATACAAAAAAAAAAATGAAGACTCCCAATACATATGAAGTAAAGCATTTAAGATTTGTATGAAAGTAAAAGAAGGAAACACCTCACTGAAGTTTGTAAAAAAGCATTTTACAACACTTAGATACAGTGGCTCCTACAAAGAGACTCCCATGAATAAATTTGAAAATTTGTAGATTTCTACTTCATAAAAAATCTGAAGGCACATCAAATTTGATTTTTTTTTCATTTTATCTAATGAACAAATATGGTACAGAATCATTTCAGTTATTATTTTAAGAAATATGAACAATGCAATCAAAACAAGAGACATACTGGAATTTGTTTTGCTAATCCAGCCACCAAGTCTGCATATTCCAATCCTCTGTCATTTGCATGCATGAAATCTTGAAAACAAAAACAAAACTCACTATGGCTGTAATTACTGCCGAGCCTCGGCTTGCATACTGAGCCATTTTGTGTCGGTAATTTATGTGCTGACTAAGATCTGCCAACTTCTTTGGATTTAGCAGGTCAGGGTAGGTTCTATCAGCCTCAATAATGACTGCAAGCAATCTGTGCACTATGATGTCAGCATATCTGCCAAACAAGAATTCTTAATGGTAAAAAATTAGTGTGTCAACATGTTAGCTAACTTGTACTTAATTTGCAGGAAAGTAATGAATCATATATATTTTTAGCTGATATCTTACAGAAAAATCTAAACATGTGAAATATATGTAATCCTAAAGTTTCCAAGCAGCCAAACCTAAAAAATAAATATTCAATACTAAATATTAGCTGTTGTAAAGAAAATACAAATTACAATATTTTTTATTTAAAGATGACTCACAAAAATCAAATGCTAACCTTCTTATAGGTGAAGTAAAGTGGGTGTAAATAGGTGTGGCTAGACCATAGTGGTAGTAGTCTGCAGGTTCTCGTGTTCCTGAGCAGAAATAGAGTGCCTGCATCATGCAGCGTGTGGTCATGATGCGCAACATGCTATTGAAGAATGGATTACTCTCCCTAGTAGCATTATCTAGACTGGTAGCTAATGTTTTGTTGCTTGTAACATCTAAATGAATATTCTGTGGAGAAAATAATCTTTTAGTAATGGGTTAAAATAGTTGAATCAAAGCAAGTGAATATAACAATAAAAATTACAAGACTTTTTAATACATGTAATATAACAAGGCCACCTTGAGTAATGCCTGGAAGAAGCTCAAACATGAAAAAGAAATTAACAAAACAGTATATAAAATGTAGAGTTTTCTCCCAGCATTAAAAATTGTTTATATACTAGTATAGTCTAAGAACTAATTATAAAAACAAAAGTTGCATTTATTAACTCACCTGACTTTTTGCTGCTGCCAACAAGGGCTCAAAGTTGGATTGTGGAGGGAGAGGATGACGGCGAAGAAGAGCACAGTCTGGGAAGTGCTGTGTGAGAAGTACTTCCATGTTATTACAGCAGAGTACCAAGTATCAAACTTTATACTCAAAAAATTTTCCTATTCAGATGAATCCCAATAACTGAAACTGCAAATGCATAAGCTGCTTATATCCACTGCTAGATGGATCTAACCAACTGACAGACTATGCTAGTGCTGAACAGGTAATGGCAATTTTGACATTTTTGTGGCTTCCTTTGTGCATTTCTATAGATACAACCTACTGGTGACTTGCCTACCACTGCTCAACTTCATCTTTCATCAGTATATAAGCCCCATCTTTGTGAATATGCTGCACTTTTGTCAAGATTGATGGATTGAACACATTGACTAAAGGCTGAAGGACTGACTACCTCAAACTCCTTCTCGTATTCCACCTTTTTCTGCATTAGACTGAAAAAGCCACTGTGTGGCAAAACATTTCCAGAATAAAGATACCCAAATGTTGCAAAAGTGTCTCATTTATCAACATGTGGTTTGGTAAACAATATATTCAGACCCCAAACATACATACAAGACCTAGAGTCCTCTCTTATATAACACTTACCCTTCATTTTGAGTCCATCCTCATATAAAAAAAAAATAAAATGTTACCCTCTTTCTCAGCTAATAAAATATAACTCAATAATAATCACAGTTCAGATGATCCACTAAACTACTTTTTTGTCCATGACTAACACACCTAGATAATATATGATAGTCCTTTATCTATTCTTCTCAGCAGCCTTAGTGTGGACTTCCATGTCCTCTGTCTTTTCCATATGCTTCCATGTATTCCCAACCATCTTTCAAAGTAATAATGATTATCCAAGCCACTACATCAAAAGTTCACACTAAGACTAGCAATTATGTTTTGTTCTGCAATTCAAATAATTTTTTTTTAAGACATCAGCCATCACCCACCAAAGAAGGTTAACCCAAAAATAGAAACACTTTCACCATCATTCATGCATAATCACCGTCTGTGCAAAGGCGCACAGATACGACGGTTCAGATGTCACTCCAAGCAGCAAATATCCCAAACTCCTCCTTTAACCCTTTGACTGTCGAAAGGCACAATCCTGAAGTGTCTTCTGGTGTCACAAAATATTCGAAAAAAAAAAAAATTTCTTATAAAAATGTTAAGATTATTTTTCTGATTGTTTTAGTCCCAAAAAAATTTTTTCCCATCAGTACTTACCCAAATATAGAGGCATGAAGTTTGCAGAAAATGAGCCGCGTATGGCAACAGCGGCGACTGCCGCTCACCCGGTAAACTTTAGTTTACTTGTATTTGAATTATTATTATAATCAAGGGGGAAGCGCTAAACCCGGAGGATTATACAGCGCCTGGGGGGGGGGGGATGTGGAAGGCATTCAGGCTTAATTTGGGAAACTGGAGCACTTGTATTTGAAGGTTTGTTGTTTTGTTCACTATTTTATTTTTTCACATAACTTATGTGGCCTGTGAGACCAAAGTAAGGTGCAATGTACATATATACACTTGTTGTATACAACACAATAAGCACACAAACATAATTATCAATATATTGTTTACAAAACTTGTTTACAAAAACATACAATACAAAAAATTGTTTATTACTATTGTTCTATAATATATATACCAATATACAGTCACTGGACATATTCCTAGAAGTTCTGCAGCTTGTGGAACTCTGTGAAACATGGTGTCATACACAGTGGTGTTTTACACTCTCACACATAAAACATGGTGTCATACATAGTGGTGTTTTACACTCTCACACATAAAACATGGTGTCATACACAGTGGTGTTTTACACTCCCACACATAAAACATGGTGTCATACACAGTGGTGTTTTACACTCTCACACATAAAACATGGTGTCATACACAGTGGTGTTTACACTCTCACACATAAAACATGGTGTCATACATAGTGGTGTTTTACACTCTCAACATAAAACATGGTGTCATACACAGTGGTGTTTTACACTCCCACACATAAAACATGGTGTCATACACAGTGGTGTTTTACACTCTCACACATAAAACATGGTGTCATACACAGTGGTGTTTTACACTCCCACACATAAAACATGGTGTCATACACAGTGGTGTTTTACACTCCCACACATAAAACATGGTGTCATACATAGTGGTGTTTTACACTCTCACACATAAAACATGGTGTCATACACAGTGGTGTTTTACACTCTCACACATAAAACATGGTGTCATACATAGTGGTGTTTTACACTCTCACACATAAAACATGGTGTCATACACAGTGGTGTTTTACACTCCCACACATAAAACATGGTGTCATACATAGTGGTGTTTTACACTCTCACACATAAAACATGGTGTCATACACAGTGGTGTTTTACACTCCCACACATAAAACATGGTGTCATACACAGTGGTGTTTTACACTCTCACACATAAAACCCTGGTGTCATACACAGTGGTGTTTTACACTCACACACATAAAACATGGTGTCATACATAGTGGTGTTTTACACTCTCACACATAAAACATGGTGTCATACACAGTGGTGTTTTACACTCTCACACATAAAACATGGTGTCATACACAGTGGTGTTTTACACTCCCACACATAAAACATGGTGTCATACATAGTGGTGTTTTACACTCACACATAAAACATGGTGTCATACACAGTGGTGTTTTACACTCCCACACATAAAACATGGTGTCATACACAGTGGTGTTTTACACTCCCACACATAAAACATGGTGTCATACATAGTGGTGTTTTACACTCTCACACATAAAACATGGTGTCATACATAGTGGTGTTTTACACTCTCACACATAAAACATGGTGTCATACACAGTGGTGTTTTACACTCCCACACATAAAGCATGGTGTCATACACAGTGGTGTTTTACACTCTCACACATAAAACATGGTGTCATACATAGTGGTGTTTTACACTCTCACACATAAAACATGGTGTCATACACAGTGGTGTTTTACACTCACACACATAAAACATGGTGTCATACACAGTGGTGTTTTACACTCTCACACATAAACATGGTGTCATACACAGTGTGGTGTTTTACACTCTCACACATAAAACATGGTGTCATACCCAGTGGTGTTTTACACTCCCACACATAAAACATGGTGTCATACACAGTGGTGTTTTACACTCTCACACATAAAACATGGTGTCATACACAGTGGTGTTTTACACTCTCACACATAAAACATGGTGTCATACATAGTGGTGTTTTACACTCTCACACATAAAACATGGTGTCATACACAGTGGTGTTTTACACACCCACACATAAAACATGGTGTCATACATAGTGGTGTTTTACACTCTTACACATAAAACATGGTGTCATACACAGTGGTGTTTTACACTCCCACACATAAAACATGGTGTCATACACAGTGGTGTTTTACACTCCTCACACATAAAACATGGTATCATACATAGTGGTGTTTTACACTCCTCACACATAAAACATGGTGTCATACACAGTGGTGTTTTACACTCCTCACACATAAAATCAGTGTGTGTGCATTTTTGTGGAAGTTTTTTTTTATGTGCAAAGACAAAACACCTGGTCTGAGCAGTTTTCTTCAAAGTATTAGCAGGCAGTCGTGTTACATAATTATCCTAGGTAAATGGTCGTGTGTCATCATTCCTTCCTTCCTAATTTCCTTCATTCCTTTCCTACCTGGAGGCTACCTGGAGGGCATTCCACCTCTCTTCCTACATTCCTTCATCTGTCCTTCCTTACTTTTTTCCTTCCTTTCATCTAGTCCTTCCTTCATTCCTGCTTTCCCTTCTTGCTTCTGGTTTCATATATAGTCACTAGATACTTTCATAAAACTGCTATTATCACCATTCAGCAAGCTTGTCTTGTGTGCCAGTGTGGCTTATAATTGTTTTGAGTCAGGAGTCTGCAGCTGTCAAAATGACATATTGTCTCATTACTCACTCCCCCTACCGCCTGTCAAAACAATGGGGTCGGATGCTGCTTCCCCTCCATTCTATCTAATTATCTTTCTCCCTCATTCTATCTTTTTCATTCTGTCTGTATATCTCTGTCTCACAGGTACACATACATACAAGTATACATAGTGTAAATTACCTAGGATAACCCAAAAAATCCAGACAAAGTGTTATACTCTGCTTGAAGATGTGAGTAAACATGATGATGACACAGTCTTGTGGCTCTCTGAGACAGAGCTAGATGGATAGACAGGGAGCTTGGCAGACAGACAAATGTTTGTTTGTCTTCTTCTTCTCCTTCTCCTCCTCCTCCTCCTTCTCCTCCTCCTCCCTCTTCTCCTTCTCCTTCTCCTTCTTCTCCTCCTCCTCCTCCTTCTTCTCCTTCTCCTCCTCCTCCTCCTTCTTCTTCTCCTTCTCCTCCTCCTCCTCCTGGCTCTTGACAAATAGACAGCTGCCCCCCTCCCTCCACCCTAGTTTAAGCTTATCAAAGGTCAGCTCTTATCAGATGTTATCTCCCCTTATCTTGTCACTGTCATGGGGTGAACTGTTTTCATGCCTCAAGGGAACATATTATTAAATATTATTATTATTAGATATTATTATTATTATTCCTCTTCTTCCTCCTCTTCTTCTTCTTCTTCTTCCTCCTCTTCTTCTTCTTCTTCTTCCTCCTCCTCCCTCCTTCCTCCACCCCCCCTCCTTCCTCCACCTCCCTCCTTCCTCCTCCTCCCTCCCTCCTCCTCCCTCCCTCCTCCTCCTCCCTCCTTCCTCCTCCTCCCTCCTTCCTCTTCCTCCTTCCTTCCTCTTCCTCCTTCCTTCCTCCTCCTCTTCTTCCTCCTCCTCCTCTTCTTCCTCCTCCTCCTCTTCTTCCTCCTCCATTGCTTTTGGTCTCAAACTCCTCGAAATCATGAAACTGATCTTCAATGACACTTCCATCTGTGTTAGAGCATCACTTGGGAAGAGAAGAGTCCCAGATTTGCTGGGGAGTCACATATTTCTTACCGCTAGACATGCTGAAAAAGGACCACTGAAATGGTATTCCCACAATGCACCACTGGCTCCCCTATTTTTTTTATATGGTGCACACTGACCATGGAGACCCATTCTCTCACATGTGGGCCTACCAGCTTTCTCCTGCTTGATTTGAATCCGCTAGAATTTATGCATATAGATACGTCAAACAGGTATCTCCTATGACATATATATACGACTGTGACAGTCAAAGGGTTAAAGTTCAGGCATTGTACTTCCCACCTCCAGGACTCAAGTCTGGCTAACCAGTTTCCCTGAATCCCTTCACAAAATATTACCCTGCTCACACTCCAACAGCTCGTCGTCACAAAAACCATTCATCTTCATTCACTCCTATCTAACATGCTCACACATGCCTGTTGTATGTCCAGGCCCCTTGCACACAAAAGCCTCTTTTACCCCCTCCCCCTATCCTTTCCTAGGACGATCCCTACCCCTCTTAAATTATTATTCTTTTCTAATGTAAGTATCAATACGTACCTTGAGTGTAGTCTCTGCAGATGTCACATTGGCAAGCAGCATGAACTCCTCAACCATGCTCATTGTCTCCAAGTGCTGTTTTGCTACTATGTCAACCACAGTGTCTGTGTCAGGATCAATATGGAATTTTACCTCCATACTAGCCAATACCAGTGCTCTGTTGTGAGAAAAGTTTAATTTTGTTTGTAATGAACTGCTTCTATACACATGCAAACACAAAAATCAGTGATATGTGACAAAAATATACACGTGGGTATATTATACATTTTTTCATATACAGTACTATACAATACAGTCGAGTACATACATATTCTCTCCCAAGGAATGGTGATTCTTGCAAACTGACTCTCCTATATATTTTAATTCTTAAGTGCCTAGGATTGATGTTTTGCTTCTTCAGGAATGTTAAAGACTTCTGATTTAACACAGAAAATGACAACAGAACTGTGCATGCTGGTTTCTTTGTCATTAAGGTTTAACAATCAGCTCTTACAGTGAACAAGAAACAGGAAAGTCAGAGACAGGAAAGACACAAAGCTATAAGTAGGAGAAAAGAAGGAATTCAATATTCACTGAAAGGACAATATGGATACAAAGTTATGTTTGCAACAGCTGATTAACAATTGTAAATATTTTCTTAGTTATCATCAACTAAAGCTTGCATCCTGATATTGAAATGAATTAGTATTTTTGGTTTTTTTTTACACAGTTGAGTTTACAGGCTAAGAGCTGTCATACTACTTCAGATAATTTAAAAGCTCAGCCCTGTCTAAAAAAAAAAAAAAAGAAAAAAAAAAAAAAAAAAAAAAAAAAACTCCCTCACCCTCCACAGTAAAATGTCACACACAGCACCTGACTAACACCCAGGCATCTATCTACTACTTGGTGAACAGGAACAGCACATGTAAGGAAACTTGACTATGTCTTGCTCTGCTAGGGAATCATACTTAGGTACCTTTATGAGCCTAGTGTTGTGCCAGTGAGGTTAGGTTACGTAAGATTCATCAGGAAACAGGATAATTGTTTCCTAATGCGGGTCTTAGTCATAGGATAACCCAACAGTAAAGCTTTTGGTCATCTGACCAAGGCCTTCGACTAGTTTACCATTCCAACCTTTTAAAAACTAATATTAGATAATTTGTAAAATGCCAGTGAGGTACAGGTTACCTAGTGGCAGAACAAAGTAGGTTTGTTTGACCCAAGACTTCCATGTCCCACTGAGGTAGGGTGATCCAAAAAAGGAAATTAATTTACCATCACTCATTCAATAGCTGTCTTGCTAGAAGTGTGTAGATATTATAGTTCAAATGACCCCCTGAACTACAAAATGTTATAACAATGCAAAAATGTTAAAAAAATATCCTAACAAAGACTACATTATTTCCTCATGCCTTTTGCCTTCTCTAGCATTTACATGGTATTAATATATGTAGTCTTGAAGTAATATGGTCTTACCCAGCATTAACCCTTTTTTTCTTCAGCCATTTAGCCAACTTGTTGAGATTTCTCAGAGACTTTGTTAGATCATCGTTCATTGTTGGGTCATCGATGCGCTGCTGAGCCTGCTCATAGCTAAATTCTCCGCGAGACTTGATAATTGCCTTGCAAAATCTGATGAATTAAACAGAAACACTTGTATAACTAATTAAAAACTTAATACTATGACCGATCAGAATAATGTTTACATTTAAAAAAAAAAAAATGACTGGTTTCTTCTTGCTATTAAAATTTGCAAGAAACACCTTACAAGGCAGTATTGTGGGGTTTCATTATGAGGTATTTTCACAGCCACAGCTGCCATTCCTGCATTAAACCATAAACATTCACACGCGTAGCACTCCGATCTTAATTTTCTCCGTTTGAAAGCATGTAAAAAAACGTAGATCTATGTTCGGAGCGCTACACATGTGAATGTAGATCTACATTTGGACAGTTTAAGGGTTAAAAAGACTATCATGGGGACAAGCAAAATTACCTATAAATACATACAGTCTAGTATGTCAAGGGATTTACACAAAGGAATAACTAGAAACCATATACACTACAAAAGTTTGGTAAAACAGGACAATAAAATGCAATGGGAAATCACTAATAAACTGGTGTTTGTTAGCAAAGCAAAATATTCTAAGAACAAAAACAATTTAAAATTAATTTTTAAAACCATAACAAAAATAGGTTTGAGTCTGCATGCTCACATGCATACACAATTAAAATAGTTGAGAGAAAAACTAAACAAGGGTAAGAAGAAAAATGTCTTGATGGGAAAATGTCATCAAGAGGGTAGTACAAGGATCAATATTTGTCCTGATAATATTTCTAATTTATGTAAATGACTTTCAAGGAATAAAAAAAAAATACTAACAGGTTTACAGATGATGGAAAATTCCTAGGCAAAGTACTAATAAAATATGACTAAATCCCAACAAGAAGACTTGGGTAAACTGAGCAAAGGAAACAAACGATGAATGACTGAATTTAATGTAGAAGAGGTACAATGAAAGCTCACAGTTTTACATTCATGCAGAAAGAATCCAATAGATAGAACTTCTTCGTGTTAACAACTTTGAGAAATGTAATTTGAAAGCCATTCGTATGTAGTAAACCCTTGATATAATGGACTTTTAAATTATGGGCAAAATTCACTGTATAAACAATACTTTCAACCCCTTTATTTTCAAAATTTATTGCAATATGACTGTAAACTGAGGGTACAGTTGACTGTAAACTGAGGGTACAGTACTATATTAGAGTACTTTAGTAAATTTTATTGCCACATTTTACCATATATAACAGACATGCGGATAATCCCCCATTAGTCCATTATACCGAGGGTTTACTGTACTACACAAGGGCTGTATACACAAAGGCCTCATTATGCACTTCCTTGTTTTTAAAAAAATTAATGCAGTGGTCCCTTGAGTTACCACACTGATCCATTCCAGAAGACATATCATACCTCCAAAATGGTAATTTGTTCCAAGAACCCGGAAGTGCAACTTTTATTGTACCCTGGAGGTGCACACTCACAGACATGACTTGTAGGCATTGTCTCCCCCTTTATCTACTTCTCTCTTATCCAAAATTACAACAGCTTTACCATCTCTATGATAATTTCTCTGCCTTTTCTCACAAGCTCAACAATATCAGAAATAGTTGATTGTGAAAAGCCATACTCACACACCAATGCACTAATTTCTTAATTAATCTTCAGAGAAATGGCCTGTTTACTGTGCAATTTCAGGGGCATTATGACTTAGTAATACAAATGATGGTTTAACTATAACACAAATGCAGTTATGAAGGGTACATAATCCAGACTCATTACAGGAATCAGTCATGATAGCTTCAAATTGAAGAGTAAACAAATAAACTGGCTTAGACACTACCATAGAGACATTCAACCCCTCAAGAACTGATGGTCCTACTGGCTCAAATGCTGCCCAAGAGGCAAGCTACCTTATTGCTGGTTGACTGAGGCCCACCCACATGCACCCACCATAATAATAATAATAATAATAATAATAATAATAATAAATATAGGCAGTAGGTTGATAGACAGCAACCGTCCAGGGAGGTACTACCGTCCTGCCAAGTGAATGTAAAACGAAAGCCTGTAATTGTTTTACATGATGGTAGGATTGCTGGTGTCTTTTGTCTGTCTCATAAACATGCAAATTTCAGGTACGTCTTGCTACTTCTACTTGCAATTAGGTCACACTACACATACATGTACAAGCATATGTATACACACACCCCTCTGGGTTTTCTTCTATTTTCTTTGTAGTTCTTGCTCTTGTTTATTTCCTCTTACCTCCATGGGGAAGTGGAACAGAATTCTTCCTCCGTAAGCCATGCGTGTTGTAAGAGGCGACTGAAATGCCGGGAGCAAGGGGCTAGTAACCCCTTCTCCTATATATATTACTAAATGTAAAAGGAGAAACTTTCGTTTTTCCTTTTGGGCCACCCTGCCTCGGTGGGATACGGCCGGTGTGTTGAAAGACACAGTGATGGAGTGAATGATGGTGAAAGTTTTTCTTTTTCGGGCCACCCTGCCTTGGTGGGAATCGGCCGGTGTGATAATAAAAAAAAAAAAAAAATATATATTATATATATATATATATATATATATATATATATGGCCGGTGTGTGTGTTGAAAGAAAGATATATATTCTTTCTTCTTTCACACACCGGCCGCATCCCACCGAGGCGGGGTGGCCCAAAAGGAAAAACGAAAGTTTCTCCTTTTACATTTAGTAATATATACAGGAGAAGAGGTTACTAGCCCCTTGCTCCCGGCATTTTAGTTGCCTCTTACAACACGCATGGCTTACGGAGGAAGAATTCTGTTCCACTTCCCATGGAGATAAGAGGAAATAAACAAGAATAGGAACTAGAAAGAAAATAGAAGAAAACCCAGAGGGGTGTGTATATATGTGCTTGTACATGTATGTGTAGTGTGACCTAAGTGTAAGTAAAATAGCAAGACGTACCTGAAATCTTGCATGTTTATGAGACAGAAAAAAGGACACCAGCAATCCTACCATCATGTAAAACAATTACAGGCTTTCGTTTTACATTCACTTGGCAGGACGGTAGTACCTCCCTGGGCGGTTGCTGTCTACCAACCTACTACCTATAAAAGATATATATATATGTATATATATATATATATATATATACATATATACATATATACATATGGAAAAGGCGTATGACAGGGTGGATAGGGGGGCAATGTGGCAGATGTTGCAAGTGTATGGTGTAGGAGGTAGGTTACTGAAAGCAGTGAAGAGTTTTTACGAGGATAGTGAGGCTCAAGTTAGAGTATGTAGGAAAGAGGGAAATTTTTTCCCAGTAAAAGTAGGCCTTAGACAAGGATGTGTGATGTCACCGTGGTTGTTTAATATATTTATAGATGGGGTTGTAAGAGAAGTAAATGCGAGGGTCTTGGCAAGAGGCGTGGAGTTAAAAGATAAAGAATCACACACAAAGTGGGAGTTGTCACAGCTGCTCTTTGCTGATGACACTGTGCTCTTGGGAGATTCTGAAGAGAAGTTGCAGAGATTGGTGGATGAATTTGGTAGGGTGTGCAAAAGAAGAAAATTAAAGGTGAATACAGGAAAGAGTAAGGTTATGAGGATAACAAAAAGATTAGGTGATGAAAGATTGAATATCAGATTGGAGGGAGAGAGTATGGAGGAGGTGAACGTATTCAGATATTTGGGAGTGGACGTGTCAGCGGATGGGTCTATGAAAGATGAGGTGAATCATAGAATTGATGAGGGAAAAAGAGTGAGTGGTGCACTTAGGAGTCTGTGGAGACAAAGAACTTTGTCCTTGGAGGCAAAGAGGGGAATGTATGAGAGTATAGTTTTACCAACGCTCTTATATGGGTGTGAAGCGTGGGTGATGAATGTTGCAGCGAGGAGAAGGCTGGAGGCAGTGGAGATGTCATGTCTGAGGGCAATGTGTGGTGTGAATATAAATGCAGAGAATTCGTAGTTTGGAAGTTAGGAGGAGGTGCGGGATTACCAAAACTGTTGTCCAGAGGGCTGAGGAAGGGTTGTTGAGGTGGTTCGGACATGTAGAGAGAATGGAGCGAAACAGAATGACTTCAAGAGTGTATCAGTCTGTAGTGGAAGGAAGGCGGGGTAGGGGTCGGCCTAGGAAGGGTTGGAGGGAGGGGGTAAAGGAGGTTTTGTGTGCGAGGGGCTTGGACTTCCAGCAGGCATGCGTGAGCGTGTTTGATAGGAGTGAATGGAGACAAATGGTTTTTAATACTTGACGTGCTGTTGGAGTGTGAGCAAAGTAACATTTATGAAGGGATTCAGGGAAACCGGCAGGCCGGACTTGAGTCCTGGAGATGGGAAGTACAGTGCCTGCACTCTGAAGGAGGGGTGTTAATGTTGCAGTTTAAAAACTGTAGTGTAAAGCACCCTTCTGGCAAGACAGTGATGGAGTGAATGATGGTGAAAGTTTTTCTTTTTCGGGCCACCCTGCCTTGGTGGGAATCGGCCGGTGTGATAATAAAAAAAAAATAAAAAAATAATAATAATAATAATAATAATAATAATACAGCCTCACCTCACTTAGCGACGTACTCATTTACTGATGACTCTGACTTATGATGGGCTCTCTGACCAGTATGCATACCTAAATAATGTATATTAGAGCTGATTTCCTCTATTCGGTTTATTACAATATACAGTACACTGTTGTATAAACATTTAAAAATATACTAGAAATGTTATAAATGGTGCAAAGGTGACACTTTTAAAGCAGAAATGAGGGGAGGGTTTTGACAAAAACCCCAAACCTTTATAGTTTTGCTCCTCATTAGTGTTTAAAATTTTTTTTTTAAAACGGTGGTCTTAGGAACTGAACTTGTTTTTTAAGCGAGGAGGGGCCCTGTACAGTAATAAAAAAGAAAAGGGGTTTGGGAATAGTTTAAAAAGGCTTTAACTGTATTAAAATTTGGGGGGCAAAATTTTTGGGGTTTAAATAGGGGGGTTGGTGCAAGAGGAAAGGGGAGGGGATTGCGGGGAATTTGATGAAGTAAAGGGTGTAAAAAAAAGGGAAAAGGAAAGCTTATGAGGGGGTTTTTAAAAGCAGGGTGTTATAAGAAGAGTAGAGTATTTTG